CATTTATTTTTGTCATATGTATGTGGTATCAATTAAACAATGTTTTGGATACAATGTAAACTTTATATTTATCAATATGATTGTTGTAATTCTTTGATCGCTACTATTCATTTGTTATGATATTGTACATGAAGTCATCCACCCGTAGACGTTTCCGCCGTTCTGGTTTGGGGGTGTAACAGTTACGTCATGTTATTGTTTAGTTAGCTCAAATTAGGTAATAAAAGTAAAAACATTCTAATTACTTCGAGAAATCGGTGCATACTAGTGATACAGAGACAAATTGTACATATGATTGATAAAGATTATACCTTTGGTGGTGTTCTTCGTTGTCGATTTTACTGTTGCACTAATTTCCGAATCCATGAGATTATATAACAAACTAAGCTAAAATACTGAAACAATTTTTCGATTCCCAATGATAATGTTGAATTATTATTCTCCTTCCTTTGGTTGTGGGGATTGATAATTACGATTGTATGACGGGATATACAGAATATGAAAATGATCGTATTCAAATAAATCAGAGATATTCTTTTCCTTTGAATTGTTGGAGGTATGTGTCGATAAAGATAATTGATTCACAGAAGATGTTATATGAAGTTTCTATAACTTCAAATCAATACCAAATATAATTTGAATGTTTCTAGGAATTAGGAAAAAAGGCGGTTAGTGTGATACCCTTATGCTATTTAAAATTTTAAAATTTAATACCACCGACTTTAAAACTTAAATCAATGACCTACTTCATCATAGCCTTATATCTTAATATTTAAAAGGTCTATATGTGTTATCGTGTTCTCAACCCATTAGGTGTTTCTAAAATAAACCTCTCTCTCTTTCTTTCTCTCTCTCTCTCTTTCTCTCTCTCTCTCTCTCTCTCTCTCTCTCTCTATATATATATATTATATATATATATATATATATATATAATTTGAATGTTTCTAGGAATTAGGAAAAAAAGGCAATTAGTATGATACCCTTATGCTATTTAAAATTTAAAGCTTTAATACCACCGAATTTAAAACTTAAATAAATGACTTGCTTCATCATAGCCTTATATCTTAATATTTATATGGTCTATATGTGTTATCGTGTTTTCAACCTTTTAGATGTTTCTCAAATGAACACACACACACACACACACACACACATATATATATATATATATATATATATATATATATGGAAAACTGAATATACATTACATCCCCACCTAAGTTTAGGTACTAAACCTCATGAAAATACATTGTTTTACTATATAGAGATTGTGGTTAGTGGATTCACGATTAACACTTGAAGATGTAGATTCAAGTTCGACGCAATACTTTTGATAAGGAAGCAAAAATATTGATTATCTTCGACTTTCGTGACAGTGAAAAAAATAATGTTCACTGGGATGAAATGATAAACGATAATAGATGAAAGAAAACAGGAATGGTAAAATGATAATGGGGGAAAGAAATGTTATCGATGATGATATATTTACCAAGTGAAAACCAAACCGGTATATTTACTAAGTTAAAACGGCATATTTTAGAGGTTTAGTACCTAAGCTTAGGTGAGACTGTAATGTATATTCCCTATATATATATAGATATATATATATATATATATATATATATATATAATATATATATATATATATATATCTATATATATATATAAAAGTTCATTGAGTAACCATTTTAAACCATGATATCAAGAAACCAATTTCATTTATACAACTTTAATCACTTAGGGTGGACATACATGTAACATATTATAACAAAAAGCTAATTTCCTTTTTTTCTTTTTCCTAACTTTTATGGTTAATTTTTTATCGAAAAAAAGCTAATTTCCTTTTTTTTCCTAACTTTTATGGTTAGTTTTGTATCGAAAATTAAAACAATTATAGAAATTCATAATTTTTAATCCTACTTCCATAGACATCCATATTAATATATACAAAATAAAAAAAATTCAAAAAAAAAAAACTCATTTCAATTTGTTGGCATTTTTTAGTATTTATGTTTATTTGGAAAAAATAAAATAAATATATTAAAATTCATAAATTTTGGTACTGGTTAAATAAACATACATATTGATGTATAAAAACGAATTTATTTTCGCAAAATTTTAGCTCTAATTCATCATGTAAATGTTAAAAACTGAATTATATAAAGTTCAAGTTCAAAGTGTGAATAAATTCATTTGCAAATTCTACCAAACTAATTTATGAATAATCAAAACGTTGAAATAGTATAAAATTACAAGTAAATATACTGCTATTCATATTTAAATGTGAAAAATTATTTCAATTTAGATGTAAAAGCAAGTAATTCACTTGTAAATTTCACTAAATTAATTTGTGAATGATCGAAATGTTAAAAATATAAGTCAGATTCACATCGTGAATGCTAAAAACTGAATTATATTCAGTTTAGATACATAATGTGAATAAATTCACTTGAGAATCTTACAAAACAAATTTATGAATAATAAAAACGTTGAAATTATATAAAATTACAAGTAAATATACTTCCATTCACATGTAAATATGAACATTTAATTGAATTTAGATGTGTATGCAAGTAATATACTTGTAAATTTCATTAAATTAATTGGTGAATGATCAAAGTGTTGAAATAGTAAGCCGCGTTCACATTTTGAATGCTAAAAATTGAATATATAAAGTTTAGATTCACAATATAAATAAATTCATTTGCAAATCTTTCAAAACTAATTTGTAAATAATCAAAACATTGAAATAGTATAAAATTACAAGTAAATATACTTTGATTCACATTTAATGTGAATAATTATTCAAATTTAGATGTGAAAGCAAGTAATGTACTTGTAAATTTCATTAAATTAATTAGTAAATGATCAAAGTGTTGAAATAGTAAGTCATATTCACATTGTGAATGCTAAATACTGAATTATATATAGTTCAGATTCACAGTTCGAAACCAAAGAGATCAAGGTGAAAAAGAAAAACTATAAAAATTATATATCAATATAGATGTCTACTTGTAATTATTTGTATATTATTTTTTTCCGATATAAATATGTTTCAAATTAAAAAAAAAACAAAAATAATAAATGTTTTTTGTGTTATGATGTTCAACCTCTATGTGTACAAATTTTTTTTTTGTCCTTAATATTTTGTGTCTAACACGATCGCTTACTTCAATGGTTTAAAACTTTCATTATATATATATATATATATATATATATATATATATATATATATATATATATATATACTAGTTTATAACCCGTGGGAACTACGGTTATAAAAATAATTAAACTTTCATAATAAAAATTTATAATTATTAATCAGTTATTTTAAATAAATCATTTTAAATAAATTATTAATTATTAATTAAGAGATATATCAAATTTTTAAAGTTATTATAACTTCAAATTTAACATATAATTAGAAAATGTAAATTTGAATCTTGAAGTGAGTTGTCAAATATATCTACATGAAAAATGTCATAATATTAATGAGGGTATTGTATTAGAGTGACACTTGTCAATTGGAGGTTAAAGCTATTCTTTTATTAGAATATGGATATATATATATATATATATATATATATATATATATATATATATATATATATATATATATATATATATATATAGGGCTAGGTTATTTTGTTTCTTACATCTATTGTGTGCCAGAATGCATAGTTCTAGACCATAAGATGGAATATAATCAATGGTCATGATCCGAGAGTCTATGATATTACAATGGGATAGCATGTATCATATAATCACACAAATTTCAGCATAAGGGTATTTTGGACAATTAACTATTTTTAAAAATGGAAATTTTTGAATTTTTAGGGATAATTAATTATCCTAATTTTAAAAATCTGGATTTTTTTATATTAATTCAATTTTAATTCTAATGTAATTTGTAAACATAACCGATTTTATTCCGTCAGAATGTTTTTTTGTTAGAATGATGTTCTTTCAGAATTTTATTCTATTAGAATATTATTGAAGAATAACATAATTCTTGAATCCCCGGTTGAAGAATAACTACATTCTAATATATTCTTATACATTCAAACTAAAATTCAAATTCTTACATATTCTAACAGACTAATAGTCTTATACATTTTAATATAATTATACATATTCTAAAAAAATATCAACAAAACTGAATAAAATTCTTAAAAAATAACAACATTCTTTAATTGTGAGTGTGATCAATCTTTTTTCATTCTTCAAGTTATTCCTATCATGTATTCAACCCGTTATTCCAGTCATTCCTATCACAAATACAAAAAAAACGAAGTATGGTTAAAAGCATGTTACTTGCAATTCCTCTCACTTTACATATTATGACAGAATACGTATAATATGATAGAATCCATATAATACATTCTGGCAGAATACATAAAATACATTCTAACAGAATATATAGAATACATTCTGCTAGTTATAGCTTTAATCGCCACTATACTTGTTTTTTTTAACTTCATTCCAAGTCTTTCTCTGGTATGATCAATATTTGATTCGTTCTTGAAGGCATTCTGAAAGAATAACATGCATTACTCATTGTTACCAGTTAAGCAAATATACTTGTCAACAAACATTCTAAAAGACATTCTGACAAAATGCATTTATACAAATAAATTCTGACAGAATACACTTAAATCATATTATTTTCTTCTATACAAATAAATTATGACAGAATACATCACATAATGCATTTATACAAGACAGAGCATTGGCATCTAATTTCTTAAAAAAAAGTCCAACAACATAATACTTTCACCACATCATATACACTCTCAAAAAACAAAGTAAATGGTCACTAAAAGCACATCTACATGAAAAGAGTGTCATTTTACATATAACAAGATAATTTAAAAAAAACAACATCTCACATTCACATTTTGATTTTCACTACTATGGAATTGGAATCATTCATATATATATATATATATATATATATATATATATATATATATATATATATATATATATATTACCAGATCTCAAGCAGAACTACCAGAATAAGAGATCAAGTAAATGATTGTTGCTGTCATCGTGCCCAACAACCCACCAGCAATAACCTGAAAAAGCATGTAAATAAAGATGAATATTCACATAAAATGACGAATATACCCTTTATGAAAACAGACCTGAGGAGGGGTGTGGCCAAGAAGTTCACATAAAGGTATGCTCTCAGCTAAAGGATGTTCAGCTGGAAGTTCGTATACGATTTGATTCAAAACCTAAATTTTTTCAAATTTTACACATAAAGAGATGATATCTTTACCATAATTCATAAAAATTTCATTTTTATAAGAAATCAAACAAACCTCTGCTTGACGCCCAACTTGCAGTCTTACACCAGTTGCATCATACATTACCTGACACAAATTTCCAATTTGAAAACAATCATCAAACCGACAATCATACAATAGAACAGTAGAAACGATGTAGAGAGAGAGATGATAATTCATACAATACAAGCTATGATGAGTGCAGTTGCGAAGGAAGAACCACCAAGGCCATCTTGTAAACCAACAACAACCGCAAAAGCAGTGACTGTTGCAGAATGGGATGAAGGCATGCCACCAGATCCGATGAGTTGCTTAAGATCCCAACGATGTTCCCTATACATGCATATCTACCAAATCGATACAAGAGACTCTTAGCTTCTGTTTCTTTTTCACGAACACAAATTAATCGGGTAACTTGTTCATAAAGAATTAACAAAGTAGTTGATTCATGACTTAAAGCTGAGATAGGGCTGAGGAGACAAAACATATTATAGAGTGCATACCCAGAAGCCGGCTATCTCCAAATCGAAGCTTGGAAGCAGATGAGTACTCGTATGCCATCCTCTTTCAAAAAAAATGCTTCCATGGAGGATGGGGGAACAGGGTATACAGATGAATGAAAAACAAAAAAACCCTAATTTTTAGCTTAAATTTGCAGGGAGTTCGACAGCATCTTGTCCACTATGAATTGATGGAGCACCTTCTTCTCAACGAGGGTGAGCAGATACATAAACGGGTGGTGAAGGACAGTTGGTGAAGACGGTAGTTGAGGAGGAAGATAGATGCACAGTGCAGGGCGCCGATTGAAATCGATTTAGGGCTAATGTTCTATATTTATCTTTGCTTCTTGTGTGATATAAGGAATTGTTGTTGATCTACCATAATTAACTATGCAAAGATTACTATAATACCCTTAAATGGTTTATTTTTTCCTAATTTCCTATTGGTGCATTCATGCACACAATAGTTGCTAGAAACATTTGAATCTAGCTCTCTCTCTCTCTCTATATATATATATATATATATATATATATATATATATATATATATATATATATATATATACACACACACACACACACACATATATATATATATATATAGGTAAGTTTAATTGAGAAATAAAAAAGGTTTAGAATGGGGGAATCATTCTCAGCCACTCATTTATTTTTGCCGCAAAAACCTCAATTGTACCGGCAGAAATGGGAAAGGAATACACATGCGTTTTCCAACAAACATGTTTCCTTAAACTATACTAATGTAATTTTCGTTTTTTTTTTAATTTTTAAGGAGTTATTTTTATCGAAAAATGATTTTAAATATATCAAAATTCATAATTTTTTATTCTCTATAAATAGACATCCATATTGATATAGTTTTAAGATAAAATAAAAATTTTATTTTTTTTATAGTTTCAGTTATCGTTATTCATAAGTGAATAAAAATTGTCACGCCCCCGAACCGAGTAAACGGCGGAAACGTCCGGGGGCGAATGACGTCATGTACAACATCATAACAGTTGCATAATAGAGATCAAAACATCACAAACATTGTATTGATAATTTAATATTTACATTATATTTGAATCATTGTTTGACTCCAAAAGCATACAACAAAAATATAAGACGTAACAGTACTAAGCTCTGTCTTCACCAAAACCTGGGTGGGTACCTGTCTAGTGATTTCCTGAGAATACATGTGGTTTTGAAAAAGTGTCAACATTTAAGTTGGTGGGTTCATAAGTATTTTGTATGAGAAATGCATGTCTTTGTTCCTTGAAAATGATAGTGTGTTCTTTTAGAAAATCCAATATTTTCTTTTTGATGTAATGTAGTCTTAATTGTTCCAAGATCAAAATGTATAAGTATTGTTGTACTTTGTAGTAGTATAGTGTAGTTTTATATCTTTATAAAACTATTTGAATGAATGTTTCCAGAGATGTAAACTGTATTGTACTGGAAAATAATGTATTGTGGTTGTATCTGTGTAAAACCCTTTGAATGTATGTTTCCAGAAATGTAATTTGTATTGTACTAGAAAATGATGTAATGTAGTTGTATCTAAATAAAACTACTTGAAGACATGTATGTATTCGTAAACCAAACGTATTGTTAATACCCCTTGTGAGTTATTATAACCATGCTAATGACCTAGATGGCCTGCTACGACGTTATTTAGACGTCGGAATAGTACGACATTTGTCGCCCCAGACCTGCCGGTCCAAATGTAGCTAACAGTTTAGGTGCGGGATTCTCAGTCTCATATAGATCTATACACAATCACGTGTCACAGGCTCTATAATCCAGAGACTCTGGTTATAATACAGAGACTTTAGTATGTACTGTGATAAGTACGGTGAAGGAATGTCTCACAAAGCCATATTGACTGTTTATGTGTAGTATAATGAAAAACCATCTTGAAATGTAGAAGTATTATCCTTCCATAGTAGTTACGTAGTGTAAAATAATTATACCTTTAAATAATTATTTTTGTATTGTATCCCAAATTGGTAAAATAGAATGTATGTCCCATAAACTATACCTATTATAGTTTTATCAAAATGTTTCATTGAAATCATAAATCTTTTGTATGTTATTACCAATTTACCATGATAATAATATGAAATGAAATAATTATATATGTTCGTTTATATAATTATACCATTTTTGCTCGACATGTTACAAAAGGGTTAAAATTTTATTGTAACCAAACATGTATCCATGTGTATATTTATATTTTGTAAAAATATAAATGTAACGGTTTGTATTTTAACACAATTTTTCTTGTGTTTTACTTGTATTCCCCCCCCCCCCCCTAAAACATATAAAAATCGTGAAAACTGTAGGGGTATGAACTCACCTCGAATGTGTCCTTGGCTGGTTAACGAAGTGATAGCGATGATCATCGGGTTAGAACACGTGTATATAGTCGTAATCCTAATAGTTTTTAACACATTATATATATATATATATATATATATATATATATATATATATATATATATATATATATATATAAATTTCATGAACTAGTAATTAAAGTATTAAACAACACTTGTTTATGTAAGAAAACTTACAAATTAATTCCTAAGAATTAACTGAAGTGTTTGTTCTTCTTGGGAAAAATGTTGAAGATATGAAGTGTTCTTGAGGATGTTATTGGAAGGCTTGAAGATGTATATATGAGTTTTGAGAGAAAAAGTAACGAAATCTTGAAGTGAAAATGGGATTATGAATGTTGATTTCGGTGTATGTATATATATATATATATATATATATATATCTATATATATATATATATATATATATATATATATAAAAGGGGTAAAATGTGATGGGATGTTTGCATTGAAATGTGTAATTTATCCCCTAGAATAGTGTGCCACCGTTTAAAAATTAGAGATCTCAGCTTATCCTCCAAACCGAAATCCTTTGATTTCGGTCTAAATGACCAATCGAGAACCAAGGGTTCTCGGTCTAGAGAGTCTTCGGTCAAGGGGGGTTCTCGGTGGGTGGTTCTCGGTCTCGCATGGTGATCTCGGTCCTATTTGTTCCACAAAAGAGGATTTCGGTTTTAGTGGGATTTTGATTCCAAAAACCGAAAACCTTAAAAGAAATATTAATTTTCCTTATTTAATTTAAACCATTTAATTATTTGACTTATGTTTGAATTTCTTTGACTTTTATTGACTTTCTTTGACTTTTATTGACCCGAAATAACCGGTTGTTACAAAAATGCATCAGATTTTTACTACAGTACATTCGTTATTCACTTACGAATAAAAAGTATGATTAATTTTTTAACAGTTTAAGTGTCATTCATATATGAATATAACATATCATAAACTCCTTATAGTTTACATAAACTTTCGTCACATGTTATATACACATATGAATAAAATGTGTATTAGTTTCCTCACATTTTATATTATATGCGAAGAACACATTTATCATTATTTTATTATAGTTCATTTGTTAATCATATATGAAAAAGTAGTTCAAAATTTCAAAACACTACGTCTTTTATTAACATACTACTTATTCATATATAAATAACAAATGAACTGTAACAAAAATCTGATAAATGTTTTATTCATATATGAATATAACATATGACGACAACTAATACACGTTTTATTCATATATAAATATAACATGTGACGAAAAATGATGTAAAAAAATATATTTTAGGTAAGAAAACTTTATTACGTGTTATATTCATATATAAACGATAATTAAACTGTAAAAAGGTTAAACATACGTTTTATTCATAAGTGAATAACGAATGTACTGTAAAATAAATCTGATACATTTTTATTCACTTATGAATAACGAGAGCTGAAACTCTAAAAAAAATAATTTTTTTATTTTATCTTAAAACTATATCAATATGGATGTCTAATTATAGAGAATAAAAAATTATGAATTTTGATATATTTAAAATCAGTTTTCAATAAAAATAGTTTTCTAAAAATAAAAAAAATAAAAAAACAAAAAAAAGTATGCTTTTGTATATATATTAAAGTAATGATTAGCATAGTTTAAAGAAACATGTTTGGTTGGAAAACACATGTGTATCCGTTATCCATTTCCGTCGGTACACCTAAATGTTTTGCGGAAAAATAAATGTGTGGTTGAGAATGACTTCCTCATTCTCAATCTTTTTTTTCTCAATTGAACCATTTTCTCTCTCTATTATATATATATATATATATATATATATATATATATATATATATATATATATATAAAGTTTGTTTTTCATTAGATTATAAGTCCTCATTATAATACTAACAACGTCTTTATTAAATATTCAAATATTAGCAAAAAGTCATGACCTAATGATCAATTGATTATATTGACTAAATAAACATTTATTTTTATATTTAAAAATGAAGGTAGTAAATTAAGAAAAAAAAGCATTAGAATTTAATATATAGAGAAGGATAACGACAAGAATATGAACAACGGTACATTCTTCCGAATGGCCGAATTGATGCCATTTTTTTAATATATTATAAAATTAAGTATGATTTAGGATGTGTTTTGCAAATATAACTTGAAGTGGTAGTTAGAAATTTTATTTGTTTTATGAATATTTGATAAATTTTATTTGTTTTATGAATATTAGATAAATATAGTTGAAAACTTTTAAAATGTATAAAATTACATTAAAGAACAATTAATAGAGAATATTTTAATTTTAGGGATAACTACAGTAAAGTCCCTATATTTTGGCAAAAGTTTCAAAAAAGTCCTAAAAAATTTTTTGAATGAAAAAGCTCAATAAACCGGATAAACCGAACAATTTAGTCTTTATCATCCGGTGACCCTCATTTTCTCGGTTAAAGAAGTCTACATGGCATCTTAATGGTGACTGTATCGTTGACCTCATTAATTTAGAGTTTTCTTTGAAAACCCTTTTTTCTCGTCTCCTTTATTCCCGACAAATCGATCGCTCGATTCTGCTCGTGTCCTTTGGCGATGGATGAAGTATTTGAGCCTGACACAATCGACGTTCAAGTTGATGATTTTGTAAAAACCAAATCAGTTTCAAGATGCAAAGATGAATTCCTTAATGTTCTTTATGAAGACAGTGATGACGAACCAGTGGAAGGTGAAGGAGAAAATGTTCGAGTAGAACTAGATGATGAGGAAAACACTGACGAATCTAGTGATGAAGATGAAATCATATACTCCATCCATAATCTGAAGGTCAAATGGAATGTGATGAAACCGGTTATTGGAGAAAGGTATAAATCTAGACACGAACTGAAATTATGTTTAACAAATTATTCCATCTATAAGGGCTATAAAATTCGTTTCAAGAAGTGTGATAGTGTTAGACTAGTGGCTGTGTGTGCTAGTGATCCAGAAAAATGCCCTTTTATGGTTCGTGCTTCATGGATGAGTACTGAAAAATCATTCCAGGTGAAAAAGATGAATGATAGGCATACATGTGTTAGGAATTTTAGTAGTTCAAGGCTTATGAATCCAACTTGGTTAGCAAATCAGTTTGTGAAATAACTAGTAAAGAAACCAAAGTTAAAATGCAAGGAAATGCAGGCAATAATTCAAAGTAAATTTCATTGCAAGGTGTCATGGTCAAAATGTTATAGATCAAGGTGTAGGGCACTGTCCTTAATTGATGGCAATTTGAGTGACCATTATGCAAGAGTGTGGGATTATGGACATGAACTGATGAGGTCCAATCCAGGTAGCATAGTTAGGATTTCTGTTAATATTAACCCTGATCAGGCTACAACTTTTCATAGAATATATGTGTGCTTTAAAGCAATCAAAGATGGGTGGAAGATAGGATGTCATAGGGTTATAGGGTTGGATGGGTGTTTTTTGAAGGGACAATGCAAGGGTGAGTTACTAACTGCAATAGGTAGAGATGCAAATAATCAAATTTACCCTATAGCATGGGCTGTTGTGGAGGTTGAAAACAAAGTTAATTGGACATGGTTCTTGGAACTACTTAGTGAAGATCTTTCATTGGATGTTGGCAGGGGATTATGTGTCATTAGTGATCAATAAAGGTAATGACAGGTTCATTTAATTTATATCATCTATTATAGTTTTTAATAACAGTTACTAATATATTTTTTCATTTCCTAAGGTCTTGTTGAAGCAACAAAGGATATTCTACCACATGTAGAGCACAGATAATGTGCTAGGCATATTTATGCCAATTTTAGGAAAGTGTATAGTGGGATACAATTCAGAAACATATTTTGGGCAGCTGCAAAATCTACAACAGAAGGTGATTTCAAGATAAACATGGATATGATCAAGACTTTAAGTGGAGGTGCAAATGATCATCTTATGGCTAGAGAACCTCATACATGGTACATGGCATTTTTTGGTAGTGGTTTGGCATGTGAGTCTGTAGAGAATGGGATAGCTGAGTGTTTTAATGCAGTCATTGTAGATGATAGAAAGAAGCCTCTTTTGGCTATGCTTGAAGAAATAAGACTCTACATGATGGATGGTATGGATCCAGAGGGAATCATTGAAGAGGATATGGGTATAGAGGGCATAGATGAGGAGGGCATGGAACAAGAAGGTATGGATCAAGAGGGCATGAATCAGGATGGAATGGGTGCACAAGGGTTGGATCAGGAGGGAATCAATGAGAATGGCATAGGTGAGGAGGGCATGGAACAAGAAGGTATGGATCAAGAGGGCATGAATCAGGATGGAATGGGTGCACAAGGGTTGGATCAGGAGGGAATCAATGAGAATGGCATAGGTGAGGAGGGCATGGAACAAGAAGGTATGGATCAGGAGGGCCTGGTTGTGGAGGACATGGGCAGGAGGCCAAAACTGAGAAAGAGGAAGACTTCAGAGAGGATAACAAAAATACAATTGAAGAAATTGGTGGTTGTCAAAAATGGGAAGGGGATGAGTTCATCCAACCCACTTAGTCTAGATTAGGGTGTTTTTAACCCATCCTTTTGTGAAGAACATGTACAAACTTTTGGCTTTGGGCAACCGTTGATAGCTCCTTTTGTTGATAGACCTTTTTGTTAAATAACCCCTTTTGTTGATAGTCATATAAAGTATAGGCTTTGGGCCCCTTGATTATGTTTTGTACAAACTTTTGGTTAATATTACATGTTCTATGATAAACATGGTTAATGCATCTTTAAGTTGATTAACTTGTGTATGTTTATGTTGTGTTTGATTTGATTCTATTGTGTATGTTAATTGATTCCAACCATGTTTGATTCCTGCCATAATTGATTCCGGTCATGCATGATTCCAACCATACTTGATTCTGGTCATGCATGATTCCAGTCATAAATGATTCCAATCATTATTGATTCCATTGTTTATTAAACATGTTTGATTATATTCTATATTCATTACATTGTTTATTGATTCAACTAATTAATGATTCCATTCATGTTTCATTTCATTCATTGTTTCATTCCATTCTATTCACTCATGATTACATTCGAAGCACTTATGACTCATACATAAACATAAACTTGTTAATTCATTTCACTTGACAAAAGGACACAACATGATTTCCATACATCTTCTGTCTATCCTAAAAGACACCAAAACACAATCAAAACACATAAAAGACACCAAAACACTATTTTCCATACATCTTCTGTCTATCTTACAAATCCTTCAACATCACCAACACAAAAACAAAAGAAACCATGAACACATAAAAAAAATTTCCATTTTCCACCTTCTTCTCCATTCTGGACTTGAATGGCCACTCCTTCCACGGGTTGATTTGCCACTGGTTGTTCCACAATGTCCTCAAAAAAGTTCCCTTCAACTTGTTGTTGTCCATAGTCCCCGAAAATTGCATTGTTCTCCAAATTAACATTGTTGTGAAATTCTAGTAAGAGATTTGCATACCACTGATTTGGTAGAGGAGGATCCACCCATTGGAAGAACTTGCAGTCTTTAAGTGCATCCTGGTAATTTGGGCAACCTATAAACCTTCTTCCTGGGTTAAACGGAGTCCACGAAGTCCATTTTCCAACGGGATCACTGCAATAGCACCTGTTTCTCAGTCGATTCATCACTCTTCGATTTGAACTTCTGCTTCCTACAGAAGATGAAGACGACATTGGTGGCTCCTCCGCCTGCTTCGATTTTTGCCTGGTCCGATTTTAGGGCACGAAAGGAATGAATGATGTATATATTTAAGTTTCGTTAAGTCCACCTAAGCATGCCCAGTCCACGTAGACTTCTTTAACCGGGAAAATGAGGGTCACCGGATGATAAGGACTAAATTTGTCCGGTTTATCCGGTTTATTGGGCTTGTTCATTCAAAAAAAAAATTAGGATTTTTTAAAACTTTTGCCAAAATATATAGGGACTTTAGTACTTTAGTGTAGTTATCCCTAACAAAGGCTTAAGTTCTCTTGAAAAAAATTCATAGTAGCCGACGCACCCCATTGGTTTAAAGCCGGAATGTTTGACTTTGAGTGAGTCATGTGATGAAGCTCATCATGAGGGAGACCGGTGGCGGTCGTCATTTTCACGCGGACACCCATCGCCATCTTTAATCCAACCTGATAAATTCATCTACGTTATCTAAAAGCGCCCCAATAAAATATCTTCCATTGTTCTCTACTCTCGCCAATCCAATTTCCCAATTTCATCAACAACATATGCTTCGATTTTGACCCAAAAATGCATCAGGATCCATCGACCTACGCGTTGCCGATGACTATGAACCCTCAGTTTCCGGAGCACGAACATCTTGATTGCCCTAGATGCGAATCCAGCAACACCAAATTCTGCTATTACAACAACTACAATCTCTCGCAGCCTCGCCATTACTGTAAGAACTGTCGACGTTATTGGACCAAAGGCGGAACTCTCCGTAACATCCCAATCGGTGGTGGTACGCGTAAAACCAATAAACGATCTTCAAATTCCAGTAAACGTCCTGTTACCGATTCACCTGTAAACGACTCCACCGCCGCAGCCACCGCCTCCGCCGCCGCCAGCTCAGTTGAAGCCGGAACCCTTACCGATTTTTGGGTTTGGTAATAACCAAAGTAAAATAAACGGTGCAAGTTTCAACTCGCTGTTGAGATCGAATCAAGGGGCGCAATTTGGGGGTTTTGTAGATGGGCTGAAACTGAATTTGGGTGATGAAGCTCGAGAGGATAGATTGGTTGGAACTCCGGTGGCGGAGTTATTCCGGAGGGACTATTTGAGTATGAATAATGATCATAATCAGAGCGGGAGTGGAGGCGGAAGAGGGGAATCGAGCGGTTGCGACGGAGGGAATGGGTGGCCTAATCTTTCCATTTTCACACCAGGTTCCGACCTCCGTTAGATTTTGAATTTGACTTTTCAGAAATATTTAGAGATTATGAGAATACTTTTGCTAAAAGCAATCTTATTGTTTGTTGGAGTTAATTATGGTTTCATGGAGTTATCCAAAATTGTGGAGATATAAATTATAGTTATACGAATAATTATCATTCATCAAGCACAACACGTATAAGTAATAACTCGAAAGATTTAATGGGCTTGTGAGTTTTAATTTTCTTCCTTTTTCCGTGGTTACTTCATATAATGACATTTCATTTAATATACAAGTAGCAAACGATTCAATTTAACCTTTATGTGTTTTTATTCTTCGGTACATGGACCCGTTGACAAAGTGACAGTTTTTTTTGGATAGTTATGTGAAAAATAATGGAAAACTATAATAAAGTCCTTACATATTGGCCTCATAATCGATTTAGTCCCTATATATTTTTTTTATTTAATTAAGTCTCAAATACCGGTAATCGTATTCAATTTAACCCTTTGACCCGGTCAAGAGGTCATCCAACTTTCAAAAATTACATTTTTGGCCCAGATTTCGAAATTTATTACAAATTTGGTCCAAAATTTACACTTTTGTTCCAGATTTTAAATTTTGTTACAAATTTGGTCCAAACTTTATCTTTTTGCCCAAATTTTAGAATTTTATTATGAATTCATCGTACCTTTGGTTTTTTTACAACTTTTTTTTTCTCAAAGAATTGTTTCTAATATGTTTTTGCTTTATAAAATCATATTTATACAAAAAAATGTATTTTCACATAAAAATCTTATATTGTCTATATAAAAACTTTTTTTAAAAAGTTTTTTGTTATGAAATATCTAGTTATGAAAATAGGTATTTATTAAGTATATAAATATATACAAATCCGTTTTTATAAAAAAAAAATGTATACATATTTTACAAAAAAAATGTATCAAACACCTATTTTATCTATATTTTTTTTATAAAATCGTGTTTGTTTACATTTTTTTTATAAAAACGTGTTTGCATAATTTTTTATGTAATATGTGTTTGTACACATTTTATAAAATGTATACAAACACGATTTTATAAAATATATACAAACACGTATTATATAAAAAATTATTCAAACACGTTTTTATAAAATGTATACAAACACGATTTTATAAAATGTACACAAACACGTATTGTATAAAAAATTATTCAAACACGTTTTTATAAAAAAAAATAAACAAACACGATTTTATAAAAAAATATAGATACACACCTATTTGTGTGCATATATATATATATATATATATATATATATATATATATATATATATATATAAAGGTGATAGGTCTTTGTATACATTTTTTTTGTAAAATACGTTTTTGTATATATATTTTTATAAAAAAGAGTTTGTATATATTTATATACTTAATAAATACATATTTTTATAACTAGATATTTCATATACAAAAAACTTTTTAAAAAAACTTTTTATATAGAAAATATAAGATTTTTATGTGAAAATACGTTTTATTTTTTGTATAAATATGATTTTATAAAGAAAAAACATATTAGAAACAATTTTTTGAGAAAAAAAAGTTGAAAAAATAACTAAAGTTAGAATGAATTCAAAATAAAATTCTAAAATTTGGGCAAAAAGGGTAAAGTTTGGACCAAATTTGTAACAAAATTTAAAATTTGGGCCAAAAGTGTAAATTTTGGACCAAATTTGTAATAAATTTTGAAATCTGGGCCAAAAATGTAATTTTTGAAAGTTGGATGACCTGTTGACCTGGTCAAAGGGTTAAATTGAATACGATTGCCAGTATTTGGGACTTAATTGAATAAAAAATATATATAATGACTAAATCGATTATGAGGCCAATATGTAGGGACTTTATTGCAGTTTTCCCAAAAATAATTGGGTAAAAGTTTCATACACAACTTATCATTAAATTCACACGAGTTGTTCAAAACCAGGGCGGCTCAACCAATTTTGGGGCTCTAAGCAAACAAAAAAACTGGAGCCCTTCATGTAAACAAACAATTTCGAACATGTAACCTTTAGTTTTATAAACCAATGCTTTTACCACCAGGCCAAACTTCAACTTGTCTTTGTAACCCAATAAATACGTGTGTATATATATATATATATATATATATATATATATATATATATATATATATATATATATATATATATAAATACAATAAGCTTTAAAATTGGGGGCTTTTTAGAACTGGAGATCCTAAGCTCTTGCTTAGTTTTGCAAAGGGTAGAGTCGACCCTGTTCAAAACTCACCACTTTAATCAGGCATCGCAGGTTAATATTTTTGTACATGATTTATTATTCAATTTTCTTTCATACACTATTTACTATTAAACTACATAAAGGTCATCTTCTTCCGCCAACACCATTCATCCCCACCACCACCGTCCACTTCACATGGCCAGTATCCACCTCTAGCAACAAACGTCACCTTCCATTATCTTATGGATCTCAATGAACTTTGCAAAGTGTCCCATTCATTGCATGTGTGATCTCTAGCTTAAGCATGAGCGACAACCAAAGATAAAAATGGTATGTCTCTGCCTCTCCGGTAGTTTTAAGTTTTGACCCAACATATTATGAGTAAATGTTAGTGTGAAGCTTCATTGTAGCCCATTTGGGTTATCCAACGATGTTTTTGTTTTTCAACCATCTGGTTGTGTTGGCCGGAGAAGATAAATGGAAAATTGATGGCTTGAAAAAATAAAAGTGACTAAATGTGTAGCGAAGTTAGTTTAATGATAAATCATGTACAAATTGTGAGTTTAATGGTGTTTTTAACAACAAATGGTAGTTTAATAGTGTTTTTTTTACATATAAATCGGCTAGACCTACAATAGTTTGTCAAAGTGATATTTTTTGAACAACAAATGCAAGTTTAATGATGAATCGTGTACCAAAAAAGTGGTTTATGCTACAAAAGTCATTATATATACAACAGTGTTCTATTTTAGATCAACTTTATTTTTTTTCCTCATTTGTCATTATATTTTATAAAACCTTTCATTTTCAGGTCCTTGGCCGGTCACCAACAAGTCATGATTATGTGTCGGTTTGACATGTTTCTCATTTTGCATTTAGCCCTAGCATTTTTTTGTTTCTTATCTACCATTATATTTTTAGAAAAATTTTCTTTTTTTCAATTGGTCAGTCACGAATAAGTATTTTAAAACGTAATAACCTTTTATGAAAAAGGGAAAAACGAAGGCAAGAGTCGAAATTGCGACTCTTTGAGGATGGAGCGTGTTAGCTAGTAAGTCAATGACTCTTTTTTTGTAATATATGTGTTTGTTGTATTTAATGTACATATGTATTTTAAAATGAAAGAAAAAAAGACCTAGTGTAAGTCTCGAGTCCGTGACATCTAATAAACGATGTGACCTGCTAATCTTTGAGCCAATCAAAATTGTCATTTCTTAGGTTTCTCAACAAATATGTCATTAAAAATATTTGGTTTCTCAAAAAATATGTCATTAGAAATAACCAGTTGTTTCTTAGATGAGTTACGGATGAATTAACAATTTTGATTGCCTCAAAGATTAGCATGTCATATTGTTTATTAGATGTCACAAACGCAAGACTTATACTAGGTCTTTTTCCTTCATTTTAAATACATGTTTACATTAAATACATTATACAACAAACACTAATAATACAAACAAGAGTCATTGAGTTACTAACTAACACGCCCCACCCCTCATGGAGAAGCTGTTGTTTCGACTCTTTAGAAATATTTGGTTTCTCAACAAATATGTCATTATAAATAGGAAAAATGACATTGTAGCCATATGATGTTTTCATATTTGTTCATTCAGTCTCTTAAATTATTTATGTGTCTTTTAAGGGAACAAGGTTGGCTTTTTCGGATCGAATAGGTCCTTTTTGACAAAATGAATGGGTAACCCGATTACCCCTTATGTCAGCTCACTTAATTGGTCTAATTATTTATTTGTTTATTATAAAGAAAATGACATCTCTCTCTCTCTCTCTCTCTCTATATATATATATATATATATATATATATATATATATATATATATATATATTGTCGCCCCCACATCTTCATTGTCTTCTTCTTCCTCTCAATGATATGCGGAAAAAGGAAACCCTAATTGAAATCTCCATTATCAGAAGCAACTTTCCCCATTAATCTACATCTCAACAAGATCAAACAAACATCGAAAAACCCTAATTGAAATATCCATTATTGTATCTTGTTGGTTTTTAAGCTTAGAGATTAAAACCATTGAAGAAATTAAAAAAATAAATTAATAAACACCTACCAAGTACCAATCCTTCTCCATAATTATACAGCTGAATCGAAATTTTGTTGAATGATTTCTTAAATTGATCTTCACCTCCATCCATATCTTAACCTTTTCCTCTGCAAAACCCATCTTCCCACATCAACATCCTGCAAAATTAACCAAAAATCAACAAGAATAATCCGACTCTAGAGTTTGATTTCATGATGAAAAGAAAAAGACTACAGTAAAAGAAGAATAACTCACAAGCTTTTGCACCCATTACCACCTCGAAGTCGCCTGAAAACAAAGGAGAAATCAAATTAAACTAGAAAAACTCGATTGATTTCCATTTTGATTTCAAAATGATGAGAGAATGAGGAGAATACGGGAGAGGATGAATGGTCCAGAACACAAAATAAGTCAATGGTGAATTCTTGGGTTCATTTTTGTGAAAAGAA